TAAAGCTCAAGGTTTACCAAAGACAAAGTCATCCATTGTACAGATACAAAGCTTGAATGTGTCATGTCAGGAAAGTGTTGCTGAATATAATAGTATATGACTCTTCTGTGTACTATGAAGAAATTAAAACTGAACCATGTTTGGGCCTTGAAAAGGGTTTAGTTGACTTTTCTTTGTACTTTGCTCTGTTCAGTTGCCTTTTCTTTGGCGCAAGTCTGTACCCTACGCTCCGTTGTCAGTTTATTAGGGATACGTAAATTAAAACTAATGCAGTCTAACACAATAAATCAGGCCACCACGAAAGTTTTGTGTTCAGTTTTTGTTGATTCAACTTTATCGTCATTCTGTAGGGTGCTATTGAATTGTATTACAGTATACTAAGGTATCAAATATCTATCCTTACTAGGGATGGGATGATAAACAATATTATCACGTAAAAAAAAAAAGCACACCCATGTGTATATCGTGGTGATTTTTTTTATTATTGGGATAATCGTGAATATCCTCACAAGTAACTTGAAAAAGCTGTCTGGCTCACTAACGTACAGTCCTTTATTGATATACTTTAAACAAGGGGACAAAGGGGAACCCATATCTTTGCTGTCACCATGGCTGGGCCACTGTATCCAACCTAAAAAACATTAAACAGGATGTGAGGATATACTATGATGGATTTGAAACTACAAGAACAGGGAATTTAGGTGTCCTATCAGTGATGCAATAAAAATGTACTGTATACTTTGATAATAAAATGTCAGGTAAAGTGAGTCCAGTGTGTTTTAGTGCCTTTTGAAAAGGATTTTAAGTATACCTTGAGGATTATCGTGATAATAGTGTATCGCAATCATTTTGGCCAAAGATAATCGTAACATGAAATCTTCACATCACCTAATCCTCACTGATATAAACTGGGTAGACAAAATGTTAGAAGCAAGGGGTCAGTACACATTGCTATCCACGAGGACCAAACATTAGACGTAATGTCTCGATATAATCGAAACAATACAAGTCAATAGCACCACTAACGACAGACCCCAGAATGACCATAACGTTGAGTGAACGCCTCCCTAAAAAAAAACCAATTTTAACTAAAAAAGTAACTTACCGTAAGCTCTATGAGAGTAAGACGCATTGTCTGTTGTATTAAGAGTGCGCTAGCTTTGGATAAACACACCTAATAAACTGGCAACTGAGTGCATGTGGGCCTTCTGGGCAGTTAACCCATAGTAGCTTTTCATGCTAGCTCATGTTAAAAAGCAGTCTGTAATCGTCACACAGGCGCTCGTGGGGCCGGGCAGCAGCCGTGTGGAACGTCCACGCGCGACCTCCGAACGGGGACGGCGCGCGAATCGAACGTTGGAAGAAAACCGTTGAATTTGCGGCCGTTTACCTGAAGCTCGGTCGCGTTCGAAACGTTTGTTACACAACAAGCAGCGCGAGCCGCGCTAGCATAAACAGCAACAAAACATGGCTAATGTGAATGAGCGGCGAGCACGAACAGCAGGAACAGCTCACTACGGCGTTACTAAAGAGGACGGTAGGGAAGTGACACCTCTTCGCTAGTGTTTCTTTTTCGGTATCAAATACGTAAAGTGTGATGTAAAAGAGAAACAGTGAAACCGAAAGGAGCGCTTCGGCGGCCACCGTATGAGCAGAAAACAGGGAGAAAGGGATGAAAAGAACAAAACAAAAACAGACCTTGTTAAAGTTGTGAAACAGGCAGTGAAACAGAGGAGGGGATGAGACCGGGAGAGGCTTCAGGCTTCACCTACTCCATCGCAGTTTTCCGTTTCCTTGTCGTCTTACCTTTTACCATTTCAGGCTGAACATGAATTAGGTGAAATGATGATGGCTGCTCTCTAACATCTCGCCTATCACGTGGTAAAATGCTCCCAGCTGCTCTGCTAGATTAGGACCTCCCTACTGACGGCCTGCAGCCCGGGCGAAGTTGGCTTCATGTTGGGGTTGCAGTTTATGCGGATTTTTTTGTAAGATATTTATTTATAATGCACATATTTTAGATGACATGAAAAAAAAAAACCCGTTATAACAACTGTTTAGATATTTTTGATATGATATGTTAGATATTTCTATTAAATACTAATGTGCCACAATAATATGCGATTGTTTGTAGCATATATGTCTGCCACCCTATAAATATTTCTCTAGATCCGCCCCTGCATGATTTACTCTGAACACATTTAAATGTGAGGTTGACATGCAGCTTTATTTGTTTTCCATCATTCCGAAAATAATCTTTAATTTTCCCATTCACATTCGCTTCCTATGCAAACAGCTTCACACTATAACTCATGTATTTAATATTTTATTGCTTCTGATTAGTTTTGTCAAATCTTTTTTTATCAGTATGTTTCATTTCATTATCCTAAAAGGCCTTGTGGCAGCTATGTAGTTATACTTCTACTACAAGGAATAATAATAACAATTAATTATTAATAGCTATAATAATAATTAAGTGTGATTGATGAGTCAGACGTTAAAACGTCAAAAATTATAGGATTTTTTAAAAATGGTCATTGAACATTTATATTTACATTGAAAAGGGACACATATACATACACATGCACAAACATACATTAAAAAAGGAAGAAGTAGTTCATTAAATTAAATGTCAAATATGTGGTTGTAGCTACATGAAAGTATCCACTTACACCATTAAATATTGAAATATATATATTATTTTTAGAAATATAAGCTTGTTTGATCCACTTGGATCCACTAAATTGGTATTAGTAAATATAAAATTGCACACACCCCTCTGAAATTATATATATACAAACAATTTGTTTATCCATGACTGAAATTAAAGTTTACTTTACTGAAGATAGAAATATCCACTCTCCAGCTCCCCCCAATATAAAGCTATCTTCAGTGCAGTGCCTCACCATTACAGGATGATTTTAATGTGTAATCCAAACTGCAGACTACACTGGCCTCAACAAGTCAGGTAGGACATCACACTACTAAGCTTCACGTCTTTGTTTGACAGTTTTACATTTATAATGAAACTATCAGGGCTTAAACCTTGTCTGTGGGTGACACAAAATAATAGGATATTTATGTTTTGTTGTGTCCTAAACTGAACTCAAGGTCAGAATTGTGACATTATGGTTTGTCCTAAGGGCATTCATGTGGTGTGTGATGGCATTAAGGAACCATAACTGATAATTCACACTCCTGTATGTCAAGTGCACACAGCCATATGACCAACTTCAGATGCAGCATGACATTACTGACAGCACCAGCAAACTATGATCGCTCATAAGACTGAAACACTGGAGCACTCTGTTGTTTAACTTGACCCTCAGGACATTCAGCTGCTCACTGACAGGATTTAAAAGATCAGAGAATGACGTGAAGATGAGTGGAGATCCTAAACATCAGCCCCTGCTGCTCAGTAAGCCACAATCATCCTCCACTGGCTGACCCTCTGACCTCTGGGGAATGTCAAGTGTGGCGATTTGGACCGACAAGGATGGTGCACCACGTCCACGACCTTCATGTGGCAGGGAACTGATGCAGTCGCTTCTAATCTTCTTTACAATACCAAGATCCATTCATAAAGGCAGTGGAAATAAGCATAATTATTTCCATACTAGTGATCCCAGTGAATGATTATCAACTCTTATTTAGTTTTATTCTGTGTACCAGACACTGACAACTATAAAAGCCTGCTCAGAATTTCCTCTAAATCTGCAGCCCTGCCTGAGTCACAGTATACATGTGCTCCAGATTTCACCTGAGTATTGGGGAATACTAGGACACTGTTGCCATCTAGTGGTGTCTCTGGAAAAGACACCTTACTGCTTGAGGTTCAGAGCCCACATTATGGTAACAGCTCAGTCTGCTTAAAACTCTACTTCATTTGTTTATCACATATTACGAACAACGTTGAATTCCTTGCAGAATCTTACAATCAAAGTGGCACATGATCCTGAGCTAGAAGTGCTAAAAGCTGCAAAGATTACTGAATGAACATCCTCCCTCTCTTCACAGCCTTCTTAACTTCAGCAATCATGCATATTTTCTCATTTGGCATCTGATTTCTTTGTGTCAAGGCCTGGAATTAATAGGACATTTAAAATGACCTTATTTGTCCACTGTGAGCGGCGTCTGAAGGTAATATGGCTCATTTTACATCCTTGGTGGGGAACATAGCTTGGCGACTTGAATTACCTTCCCCTCAGCTCGTCCCCCAGTGAAAATCCCATTTTCCCATACGGTGATGGTGCAATGTGCTGAGCTTGGTGATATCTCAGGGCCCCTCCACGGTGGAGGAGGGGAGCTCAGACATGCTTACTGCCTCCCTTTTAGAAACCATCATTTCAGCAGGATCGATAGTACGTCCCACTCCATGGCTGGCAGAATGCACTGCCTCTATGGGGAGTGGGTCGGGGGTAGGAGGGGGGTAGTAGGGGGTGGAAGTATGTGTGGACAGCTGCACCAAGGCAAGTCCGAGCAGCACACGCAGCCAAGGTGAATGATCGCATGCTGCGTCAGACACTCTGCTCCTCACTTGTTCTGAGATGCAGTTTCTGAGGAGGACCAGTGGGTGGATGCTGTCCTCAAGTGGTGGTTGCAGTTGCAGGCAACATACTGATGAAGCCACAGAAGTAGTTCAGCCGTCAGGTACTTCATGTTCCCAGTCTTCTGCCTCTCAGCTGACACACAAATCTGCCCTGAGATGAGCACAGATCTGCAGCCGATGCAGCTTGCATAAAGTCCTCCCGATGTCTTTTTTTTTAAATCGTCCTACACCTCTTTGACTGTATTGGAGGTTGAGCACTCAAATAGATTCATGCTGTAGGTGAGAAGACATCTCATGTTTCAGTGGATGGCTTGCAATATAAGACCTGTACAGTCTAGCTTTGTAAGGCAGAAATGTTTGGACATGGATAAAAATAAACCTTTACCAGTTATTAGAGTAGTGTGCATGGACAGCGAGGGTTAGAAAATCATTCACTCTGGCAATACAGACCTCTGGTTAGTTATTTATTATAACGCAGGATTGTATATTGTTCCTGTTGTTAATGAGGCCCAGCGAGGAAACATTTTAACCAGTATAGTCTCTCTTTCTGAAGGAGAATTGTAGCTGACAATTATGATACACAAACTGTTAATCAAATTTGTATTTTTGACAGATTTTAACACACAAAATGTACAGGATGCCTGCAACTGATGATTATGTTCATGGTGGATTAATCTGTTTCTAAATGAATCAATTAGTCTATGAAATGTCTCCCAGAACCAAAGGTGATGAATTAAAATGTCTTGTTTTGTCAAAATAACAGTAAAAACCCAAAAGATAATTCAATTTACAATGATGTAAAAACAGAAGAGCAGCAAATCCTCACACTGGAGAATCTGGAACGAGCAAATGTTTTTTGTTATGATGACTGATTGATTAACAAAGTAGTGGTCAGTTTAATTAATTGATTAATTGTTTCAGCTCTATTTAATAAATATATATAATAAAAATATAAAACATTATTTAAGCATTAAAAGCATAGTTTACTTGGTATAACCGTCTAACATGTCGTTGAAAAAGCAGTGGTAGAAGTGCAGGCTTGTATTTACTTACTCACTCTTTCCGCCGTGAACTGCGTACATGCGTCAGCAAACATGTATTTAACGTGTGCTGTACTTGTTTGACTTTGAGAGGAGCTCTCGCTGGTTTAGAGTAAGGAAAGGGCGTCAGTGAAGAGAGGTGCACCACTGCGGGACAGGGGGATGTGGATGGGACAGGATGTGTGGTGCAGTACGAGCATCCCCTCTGCTCAGATCGCTGCTCATTTGTCAAGTTGCCTGCAGACTTGAATGGTGCATTGCTGCTAAAACACAGAGAGGCAATCAGCAGTGGAACAGCACACCTCCAGGGAAGGGTTCCAGGTGGAGGAGAGCCTCCTTGGGCGGTCTGCAGATTAAGGGGTCTTTTCCTCAAGAGCACATGCCAGAGGGTCAAACTGGTGACAGATTTGTATTGTTCTTACAGAATTGTTTCATACTGAGGGACATTCGCATACCATTTTTAAACAGTGAATAGAGAGGAGCAGCATGGCTGGCGTATTCATCAAATCCACCCTTAGGCCACAGAAAAATGTTATTTTGGAGTTTGTTCTACTTACAGTTTGCTGTCAGAAATGGACTAAACTGTCTAAAGTGCAGCATCCCCCTGAGTGCTGTAGGGAAACAGAAATCATAGAACGATGAGAACGGAGGAATGAATTGTTACATTTTCCACTTTTATAACAAAACATCCTTTTTCCAGTGTGGTTTCGATCATCCAGCAGACTTTATTGTCATTAGTTTGGCTTACTCAGACTCTGTCTTTGCATATTAGCAGCACTGAGATGTTCTCCATACTGGGACAAGCGTCAAAGCCGAGTGAGGTCACAGCGTTAATAGTGGCCTGGTTCTGCTGGTGGACGTGGCAGTAGACAGGCAGACCCACGGAGATCATCCTGCGGATCAGAACCAGAGACAGAGCCAGGAGGTGCCCGGCCCGTCTGTACTGTGTAAGGGTGTAGGCCATCCTCAGCTCACACAGCTCATCAGACAGCATCCAGGACACAGGCCGGCCCTTCTCATCTGTCACACAGTGGTTTGGCAGATGGCGGATACAGGCTCTCACGTGGTTGAGGCTCTCCTGGCTGCCTCCATAAGGCAAGTGTGCGTCCACCAGCTCAGCGTGGGACTCGTCCAGAACGGAAATTGGCAGCGGGAACACATTCCTGGGTCCGCAGAGAAAGGTGTGAGCAGAAAATATGAACATGAATTAAGGAAAGTCATATTTTCTAATCTTCCTCGTCAGCTGCAAAAAATAACGGAGCTGTCTTAAACTGAGGTCACGAATACATTTCAGAAACTCACTCTTGCCAGTCCGTATTCTCGGGGATTTGATGGATGAAGGTGTTATAACCACCATATTCTGTGATATCGAGCCCACTGAGAGAGGCCAGTTCTTTTATGAGATGACAATGTGAGCTTGGTATACCTTTCAGAGACACAAAAGCAACGTTGTTTTAATTAATTTACCTTCATCATCATAGCAAGGGATGCTCTGATCCAGATTTTTCTTTCCCAACACCTTTTCCAATACCTCAACTTAGGATATCTACAAATACAGAATACCAATCCAGGATTTTTTTTTTCTCAAATTTAAAATCTGTTTACCACACTGTATGTAGCTGATTGTAATATTTTTTAAATAAGGTAACATTAGGCTAGGGATTGAATGTAACTGACAGCAGAGACATGTTTTTATAAAGAAAATGGTAAAGATTCTGGATTTAGTGTAGATCAATTGCATCATGGCCACTTAATAAGGTCAGTATCAGTGCTAATATTATTCCACTATATCAGATTGGTGCATCCCTAATCGTATCATGGGCCAACAAAATTACATGTTACAGAACCATCTGATTGTCAAAGAAAATCACATATTATGCAGTTGATTAAAAGTCTGGGTGCAAACAATAATTGTGTTTGCTCTGATATTAAAACTGCCTGTTGTGTTGAATTATATTGTCTCATACAATCAATTAATACTTATATGCAGACAAAAATGTCTGGATTTTCTTCACGTTTCTGTAAGTGACAATACATTTAATAATTGCAAGTGCAAATACAAACATGTTAAATACAAGGCTAAAATAAAATAGCATAACATATCAGTATGTTCCACATTTAAGTTTAAAGAATAAGTGGGTGATATTCAATGTTTCCAAGACCAAAACCAACAACAAACTGATCCAACTAACAAGTATTTTGTGTCGTATTTCTGTGCATCCAAAGCCTGTTATTTCTCGCCACTTCCTCCATTTGTCCCAAAGCCATTAAAAACACATCAATGAGCCACATTATTGCAGTGGGTGACACATTCCTTCATTATAATGAACACTGTAGTTTGTTTTGAGTCAATGTTCTTCCTGCTGAAAAATACTCACCAGCACACCAAACGTGCATTAATCCGCAGGTGAAAATAGTTCCCAACAAATGCACTATTCCCTCTGGTTTGAGTACCGTTTGTTAATAACTACAATGCCCTGCTGTTAAAGTATTTATTTAGAATATATTTGTAATCCATCTGTAAAGATTTATGTTTTCAGTAGCTACTAATACACATCGGCTGCAGATCATGACCAGTGCATTGTTGGTTTCCGTCTTTCAATAGGAACAACAAAAACATAGTATATCGGCAGCCTTTAACCACGTAGCTCATCTTATCTCTGAACGAAGGTTAAACTTTGAAACAGTTTAGCAATAAAAACACGATAAAACACAATATTGTCGATTGTCTGTATCTGCACCATGCATCACAGTTACAGTATACTTATAGGAATGCTGTATATTCCTATGGGTACTGCATAGAACATACAATATACTATAATAAATCAGTTAAGGAAATGCTATGCCTTCATTCTTTCACACTACCTCTGAATATGAGTCCGTTCCTCCAGTGTACGACTCTCTCATTAAGCAGCAGACCTCTCAGAGTTGCTGGGTTCTTTGTGAAGATGGTGCATATGTCTGGAATCACCCCGGAGCTGCTGCCGAAATGCTTCACAGGCAGATACAGACATCAACAGGACGTTCTGGTGGAGCCTATAAATTATCTTTGTCCCCGTGTGCTATACCTGTTTTTGACGGTAACAAATGGCAGTAGTGAATGTAGGCCAGGAGTCAACACACATCTCCAGATGACACGAGTTGTTGTGGAGGATATGCAACACTCCTCCAAGAACCTGGAACGCAGAACACAATGCAGCAGGGAAACAGACCAAAATAACAAGCAGCTCGCCATCCCTGCAGATGAAAATGGCACACAAATAACACCAGAGACAATATTCAGTAGAGTGGAGTTTCTTCTATGAAAATTCATGCCATATCATATTTTCTATTAAACACAAAGTTGTTTTCTACCTTTCTATCACACAAATATTAATGTTTCATAAAAAAAAAACAGAGCAGCATTACAGTGATGGAGTGTGGCAGGTCCCTGCGAAGGATATTTTTCATCAGAGTGAGGTCCTTGACTGCTTTCAAGATGATCATTTTGTTTGTTTTTTAGTTCACACTGGCCTCTGCCTTCAGAGTAATACATATTTACAGGTGTAATTTATCTATCTACATACAAGGCTACTGCCACAGATAAGATGAACACAAAGTCCAAAGTCTTTATTCTCTATACAGAGAAATATTTACTTTACCTACAGTTTACACATTTACAGTAACTAAATACACAAAGAGAAATCCAGACAAAACATAACGTACGGAACTATTTCTTTTACTGTTTATCTTAAACTATTACATAGGAATACTTGAAATGTATATTTCTGGCCTGTGGTGTCCTAATGAAGGCTCTTCGGCTGCAGTCTCCCTCAGTGAAGGCTGATCTGTGCATTATGCTTCACTACAACACCGGTGCAGAGAGCAAACTGGCTGACTGCTGCTGACACTGACGGAGCCGCTGCTCATTCACCACAACAGAGCAGCCAGCTGTCAGAAGTTCGGCCACTCATCATAATGTCAATCCATCATAGACCTTTTACTATCTCTCTCGTACTGAGGGAGAAACCGATGACTCCTCGCACTTCATACGTTTCACACATCGCGGCCCGCCTTTCAGAACAGGATCTTTAATATCAAGGTGAGTAATGTTGTCAGTGACAGTTCTTTGGTTAAATGGAAAAGAGTATTTCTTTATTTCTTTGTCAGTGAAATAAATTAAATCTGTCCTCAATGTTAAACAGTACTTCTCTGTGCTTACAGTCATTTCTTTACAACCACATTCTACCTGTATTGTCGTTGACGGTGTGTCTTTTTCACTCCACTTGGCCTTGGGAGGAAACTGCTCAGCTTTACAAAATGAGGTCAACAAAGACGATTTGGTGCAGTGAAACACACCAGGCACCTTTTTCTACAAAATCATCATCATTCAGTCTCTCGCTATGGCAGACTGACTGAAGAGACAGATAATTTATTGCTAGCTAGCCTCAATTACCTCTTCTCTGACTCTATTTTTCATTGCCGATGTCAGGTTTCCCCTGAGGATATCTCATATAACTACCTAATCAATTATCCTCACTGAAATATTCTTTTATTTCACATCTTGTCAGATTTTCAGAAATATACACCCAAAACCTTTCATAGACCCAGTCAGTTGTCAGTCAAGGCAATTCTCCTCCTCTGTTGAGAATTAGTCTGAATTGATGAGTAAACCTAGCAAGCTGCTGAGCTTGTAAATCAATGTGTCTATTATCTTTTCCGGACAGATCAATGGAGCCAAGGAATGGGCTGTGAATGGCAAAAAAAAAAAGGAAAGAAAAGACACGCAAACTCACCAGCCGATGGTTGGACTCGACTCCCATTATCTGTGTATGTCAAGAACGTCCATACTTGACAGATAACCTTTTTTCCCCCCTCAGATAATCAGTACGTCAGTTTGGTTACAGCGCTTGTCTGATAAGACATAAGGGATTGACGACGGCCAGCCACAAAAAAACAACCACCTATTTAGGTACTACAAAAACTCTAACAGTCAGGCCTTAATGCAAATCATAAACATGAGCGAGAGCCATGTGTGTACACATTCAATGAACTGCATAGGTGACTCAACTCTGAATCTCTGCACTCATATGATCTATGAGCCTTAACACACATTTACACATTCTGCCCTTGGCTGGGCTAACAAGAGAATATTAAGAAGAGTGGAGAGCCAAAGGCGGTGAGGTGACAGTAGCCAGGTAAAGCATAGCGAGGTAATCTAATAGGACATGTAAAAGGGCCCCTCCTCATGGCTTATTCATCACAGGGGATGCCATTACTGAGAATGGCGTGGGCTATGTGAGGGATATGCTGGCGGGGGCATTTTCCCTGGTGTCACAGAGTACAGAGGAGAGGACAGATGCTGCGAGCCTCGGCAGACTGATGCAGTAGCAGCACTGCATGCAGATGCTACATGCAGGGAATGATGCTCCACTCTCAGCTGATGGCAGTTTTTGCATGATACATACCTATGATTCATACTGACACTGATTGATGAGGACAGCCTCATGTATCAGATCCCCATAGTCAGAGATGCTCCATTATGTGAGTTTTACTGATTCAGCAATCTGTTCCAGCAGAGGCGTATCTCATGAGGGCAGATACAAGCTAATCAGGGAGAAAAGCCTTAAAATAAAACATCAACTCTAATGAGCTTAAAACAGGTAAGAATACACCTTGACTTCATGGGTTCAGGGTTAATATGACATACATGCGGCTCCTAATTTTGCACCAGAGGACGAAGGATCACAGGGTTCAACTGGGGGGGGCTGGCTCCTGCAGTGAGGGGAGAGCAGAGCGCTGCACTGCTGCAGAGAGCAACCAAGGCACTGATGCCTAAAACGTACAGAATTTACAATGGAGCCACCATTATCCATACAGAGCCCATGCAGTGCACTGCAAACGTCATCACTGAAAGCTGGGAGAGTGAACCGCCAAGTGCATTTTTTGTGAAGTAAAGACATTGCAGAAAGAGAAGTTCAACCTCATTGGCTGACTAAATGATGGATGATCTCACTGTGTGCAATGCACAAAAGACAAATTTGGTTGGTCAAGATTTTTCTTTACTGTAGCGCACTGCAGAATAGCACCAGTACGGCAGTGCATCATGGGTAATGAAAGGCAGGTAATAGGGATTGCAGATTAAGGACATTTCACTTTACTCAAGGGGATTTTGTACCTGTGAGAATTGTGAAACTCTGAGCTCAAGTGTTGAGAAAGCAGCTTTTTGATAGTGACATTCACTTACTGATTGCATGATTATTGCTCATTTGTCAAAATGGTTGGTGATATGTGTGCAATAATCCTGTGGTGTGCCTTGTGTTTTACGCTTTGTCAACATACTTGGTTGAAATATGATCCATAACTACTGCTTTGGATAATAATAAATCAAGCACATTTTTTAACTGTTTCACAGGTGACAAAGAATCATTTTGACTTAAACGTTTAGAGTAAGTCTGTGATTTTCTTAATTTAGCTTTACAGTGTCCCCTTTTCTGATCTTACATGTTGCGATGCCTTCAATACATCTTTTGGCAACACATATCAGGAGAAATCCTTCCTAATTTTCAGAAGAAATTAGATTTCAGAGATACTGTGACAAGTTTCAAAGCACACCAGAGGAGATGGCCTCTCTGTGGAGCAAACTGTTCCTCATTCAGGTTTGAGCACACTCATATCTCAAAGCAGCTTTTGCTGTAGTGTGAAAATGAATAAAAGGGGATGGAGAGTTATGTGTGTGTGGAGGGGGTCTCTCTTGTGAAGAGTCCTTTACACTGATAATTCTCGGGGGTTGTTCGAGGAGGGTGGGGGGTGCAGAGGAGGACAGGGAGGAGAGGAGGGCAGACTGAGGATGTGCACACACACTGACCCTGGAGGTTGCGTTCCCCTTTAAAAGTCCCATCCCACTCAGATACGCAGAGCTCATGCAGGATCTGCTGCGGCAGTGGGGGAACACTGCTGAGCTGTGCAGTTTATGCTGCCAGCAAGCGTGCAAAGAAAAGGAGGGGGAGCGAACGCGTACAGGAGGAGGAGAAGGAGGAGGAGGAGTGAGGGAGCTAGAGAGGGAGAGAGAGAGTGCAAACAATGTCATTCTGTTCAGGAGGCAATGCTGCAGTCAACTTTGCCGCGCCATGAAGGCACATCACAAGCGACCATGAGGCTCAGAGTGAGTGCAGAGAAGTTTTCCTCCTCTCCGCCCCGTGTGTGATGCGGTCCGAGACTCATCTGTAGGTATACATTTATTTCCTCTCTAGTCTTATTTACCTTGTATGTTGTCTCCTTGTGTGTCTATCTCTTTGCATAGGATGGTACACTTCTTAAATCAGCCTTACAGGTGTTGATATACGTATGTCGGTGTGCATGCCTGCAGTGTTGAAGCTCCCGGCTGCTTCTGTCTCATCAGTGTCAGCCTCCTCTGCACCAGTAATAACCAGGCAGCAGCCAGCCAGTCAGTCAGTCAGTCAGTTAGCAGTCAGGCTCCACTGCTCCCTCATCCATGTTTAACACATGGTACGGGCTGGAAATAGCAGCCGGCGTGTCAGATAGCGGCTGGTTGAGAGGACTCGCCATTTGACACAAGGACAAAAAAAAAAAAACTAAGCATGATACAAAGAGTTCCCTCCGCTAGAGGAGACTTTTATCTTTGCTGACTTAGCTTTTAGGAGAGAACAGACAGTCCCGAGCTCTCTACTTTTCTCTGGTAGTTGTGGATTTATATTTAGCAGCATGTGTTGGTTGTGCATACGATGCTGGAAACTGCTACGAAGGATCTATTGTAACAGTGGTCCTGGGTGTCAGTGTCTCAGTGCTGAAATGAGAATGAGGCTACAGTGGCCTGCATGGGACAGGGGAGCTGTGGTGCAGTCATGAAGTTATGCACTAGCTAGCAGGACTTTTCAGCCGTCCTAAAAGTGGATACCAGGGTAGAGTGCAGTTCTCTGAGATTCTTTTTGGAGAGTTTCAGCACAAACTGTGTGAGGAGAGTATTGAGGTATGTGTGTATGCATTTTTTTTTATTTGTCTCTTGGATAAAAATAGAAATGGAAAGGTCTCTCAGAGCAGAACCCCTCTTATACATGGTAATATATATGCAGCAGCAGTATCTCAGCAACTCTCTTGGTCTAAAAGTCGATGATGCCACTTTTGTCTTCTATGCCATAATGCACTGTCTACGCTCAACTGCGAGCCTTTTCAAAGGCCATGTAAAAATAGTTTGTGGGCGAAAAAGCTTCATAGAAAAGTGAGTCAGTATTTAAAATTGTGCTCTGAAACCTGTATGGGAGGTCTGGATGATGGTTCCAGCCAGGTCAGTTCGCCTGTATGCAGACTCGGTCAGCGGCGAGTTCACCTCAGGTAACTGTGCTAAGACCTTGAAAAAGCTGGCCCTGCGTCGTCAGCTGGCTCTTTGTGAGGCAGAAGCATCTCTCTGGCCTTTGGATTTCTCCCCACATGCAGGCGGGCGAGTGCAGGGAAACAGAGTGATAGCAAACTGTACAAGAGGTCCGCGCCACATCCGGAGCCTGACATCATCTTGGAACATCTGCAGTTCTCCTGCTCACACTTTAACTGAGGGTGGGTGCTGCACTGCCAGCAAAGGAAATTGCCGCACTCACCTGATGTTCCTTGCGCCTCACTTCTGCCCTCCCCCCACCTCCCCACCCTCTCTCCTCTCCTTCTCTCCTCCTCCTGCCTCGTCTCCAATTTCTCTACTGTAGTCTCTCTCAGAGGTACAGTTGCCCAGCACAGCGCCTCACCGGCATGCTTTGCACCTCTGTGATTCTGCCACCCCCACCCCCCCTCTCCTCATCCTCTCTCCTCCATTCACCCCCCCCACCCCCCTCCCCTGCTGAAAAAGTATGCCGCACATGCTCTCACCATCCTCCTTGAGCAATTTGCCTGAGTGAAGAGAGAGCGAGAGAGAGAGAGAAAAAAAAAGCAAGAGCCAGTGAGCCAGCAGCAGAGCAGCAATCCTGCAGTGTCCTGCAGCAGCTGAGTTCCTGCAGTGCTGGCCTCTAATAGCACACACACACACACACACACACAGACACACAGAGAAGCACATCGAGACTATCATTCTCTCTCAGACAGTCCTTCAGTCACGTGACATAGTGGTGGTAAATGTGAGAGAGAGCAGGCCGTCTCACTCTACACCGGACTAAGCTGAGTTTAGAGACAGAAGAGAAAGACGCGTGTGCATGCACACCCACACATACCCACACACACACACATACATACATACATACATACACTCTGCTCATGGAGCTCCACAGGGAGGCAATGGTGAGATTAGCCGGTTGCCCCCACCCCCACCCCCCATCGGTGGTGCATTGTCCCGTTCCAGCACTCCAGTTCCGATGATGTAATCAATGCAGCAAGCTTTGAACTTGCTGGGCTAGGGGTTCCTCCCCCCCCCATCTCACCCCCCGACTCCCCCCAACTCACACACAGATGCAAGTATGAGGCCTCAGCTGCAGTCCGTGTCCCAGGTAGGAAGATTAATAAATTATAGCTTTATGTGATGATTTAGCTATTAAAGTGCAGGAAATAATTCCCTGTGAGTGGGCTAGCTCAATGACTGTCCATATTTCACTCTTGTGCAAACAGATAGTTTCATGCTTCCATAAATTAAGAACCAACTCAATTGGTGAAACTACTGCTGGCACTTCGTCAAAACGCTGCTGTGCAGTGCCGCATCCCCACTTCTAATAAATTAAAGCAACTATCTGCAGGCAAATATGCCTCTTCTGCTCTTTTCTACAAAGTTGTTCTAGTTGCTTTCAGCAGGGAAAAGACAAACCTCCAAGCAGAGCTAAAAGTGCTTTGAGTTCTTTCTAGGCGTAACATCATAGTGACTTTGCTCTTTCATTGATAAGGTCATCAGTCTGTTGACAAGCTGCAGTGGAGAGCAGCTTCAGTGATGTACAGTACGGTGCTTTAGAGATGCTCAGGCAGCTAGATTGAGACCATATTGTAGCAGGTGAGTTTTGCTGAGCTGGTTCCTGCCACTGCACCCAGAATCTGCCTAGTGATCAACTTCTACTACAGCAGTGATGAACTGGCATCACCCCTCCTCTAGTAAAAAAAAAAAAGCATGCATCAGAGGGGCTCTGCATAATTAGCACTAGTGCCTGGAGATTATTCTGCACACGTGATACACTTTAATATGTCAGTAACTACGTAGAATAAAATGTAAATTTGTATATACTGTACATACGTATGTGATCCATCACATAGAGGATTCTTTATCTGTGGCATTAATATATTTTAAATTGAGATTATATTTCAGATTAATATTATATGTTCAACATATCTTTCCCTGTGCATTATTTAGGATTTTCACAGTCATATAATTCACACTGAGGGGCTTCATCTGTAACTGATGTGACCTACTCCGGGTTACTGTGTAAAATAATTTGATGAATCAGCAGCTTTCATTAGTATGCTGTGCTGGTGCCCAGTTCCAGCTTCTATAAACTATTCATTTTGCTGTGTTAGGGATAAAGCAGCACTACTTGCTAACAAGAGTATGAATGAAGAGCAATACTTTAGCTGCTGAATTTAAGATTCAGACTTTTAGCATTTAGCACAGGAAAGACAGACAACGTTGTGAACTGCTTCCACCCGCTGAGCAGAGAAAGAAGTCACTGCCTGTAGGCAAACTGCTCTTTATGATCTATGACAGAACAAAGATGATCTGACAAGTCGGTCCAAATCAAAAATGCTCTTCTCTCCAACACTTTTTCAGTCGATGGCCATCCTCACCTCACCTCATCTCATCAACTCAAAGCTTTTGTAAAGAAAACTACTTCACCACGCCACACAGAGAATCATTCTCAATATACAGTCAAACAATAACTCCTTCATGTGTGAAAGTATTCAGAGTTAAAGCTGTGTATGCTAACCAATTGAAGCAGGCTGAGTCATGCTGGGGTTTTTTTCTGCTGGGTTTCCCCCCTCTCTGATCCTCTGCTCCTCCCCCTCTGGTCTAGGAGCAGGCTCATACACCAGGTCCGGCTGTTGGTGGCGTGTTGGAACATGCCTTGACTTGTTGTACTGCCTGAGTGAAGCAGAGACAGACATCCACGAGACACAGAGGAGAGAGAGAGAGAGAGAGAGAGAGAGAGAGAGAGAGAGAGAAGAGGATTGTGGTCAACAGTTTGCCAATGTGAAGTGACCCACCCAATGGGAGAGCCCTGCAGCACCCGTGGACAGACTCCTGTTGATGTCAACACCAGAGTGCACTCGCTGGAGACAAGCGTGGATGGAGGAGCTCCACTGCTGTCCTCGCTGCTTGGTGAGTGTCAAAGACTGTGTGTGAATAAAAACCTCTGACATATAATGTTACAACTGAGCACTTCTGTGAACGTCTAGGTTAATTGTTATTGCAGAGAGGAGCACCTCTACTTGGAGTAAAACTTCAGAAACACTAATTAGTGTGGGGAAATCGAAAAGATGCTAAAATGAGGCCTTCACATCTGCTTAATAAGGCCTGTACGTTGACTGAAGTATAAATGAAAAAATGTTCATTTGAAGGGCGCAACTCTAAGTGTGTCCAAGCTAAGTCTTGATGCTAACATGATGCCATGGTAACTATACAAAAGGTTATTGAAGTGTGATACACCCAAACAGACTGTTACCAATCACACAGTGGCACAGTAACCTCCGCACAGACAGAGCACCCACCAGTGACCCTTTCACAAGTCCCCGGGGACTCAGCGATCATTGTCCGTCCACAGTTGGATCCTCGCAGAGGAAGACAGCTGTTTTTATTATTGTTTTCTCCTCTGTTCAGCATGAAAGTCGGTTTTCATCAGGAGACTCAGCAGGCCGCCTCCTCCTCCCTGAAAAGCAGGGAGACCAAAGATAAATAGTTCAGAGTTCCTCATTTCTCACATTTCTGATTTGTGTCTGGTGAAATACAGTGCGATGGAAGATTTTTGTTTTTAAAAGGCCTAATTTTCATCAGTGTTTTAGTCATAAGAGCACACATACTGTAAATAAAAAAAGCAGATAAAGACGACTACCTCACTAACCTCAGACTTTTCACGTTGTCGCACATAATAGCTGCATGTTACTGATTAGCTCTACAGTCAAAACTCAAATACATCAATCACTCCAGTGACTCAATGATAATCATTTAGTGTCTTGTGTACTATGATCTGTGTATTTTGCTTTTGTGTGGTCAAGCCTACAGATAGTTACTGGGGCAACTGTTTTCTGGTAACCAGGGGTAGTGTGCACTGTGGGTAAGACTCAAAACCACTGAATTATTAACACACTGCAGTTTGACAGACAATACTGATAAGTCAACACTGATGAACCCTATTTACCCCCTAAATAACGTGCAAACGCTTACAACAAAAGAATACATTTCATGACCAGGTTTTTATTACTTCTAATCATTTTCTATATACTTAAAATGCCTCTAGTGGATTAGTTTTGAATTGTTCATTTGAAATTGAATGCCTCAAAAGCAAAACCAATATACATACTTGTGCTACATAAACCTCAGGAGAGGCTAAGCTCCAGCACCAGGCATGCCATCATGTGTAGCCTTGTTCAGAAACATGGCTCTACAGTAAATACTAGTGTCATTGTTGGCCATAAGATGATTAGGGTTTGTGGGAAAGGAACTGGAGCAGGGAGGCATGACTGTTTGAGCGTTGTTTCCTGACAGTGAAACGACAGAGAAATGCACAGCGGAGAGGAGCGAGGAGGGCGGGTGCACAGGGTTGGTGCGGTCGGGTAGCTGGGTGAGTGTGTTTTCTAGCATCCAGAGGGATCCTGGGGTTGGGGGGGCCAAGTGTGTGTGTACGTGTCTTTGTTGATGTGATGAGAAGCTGTTGCTGAGGAGATCTGTTGCCTGTAGGCTGGTAGATACTCTCATTACTCCAACAAAGGCCACACAAACCCTATCTGCCATTTGTGTACGATTACATTTGACGCTGTAAACATTTTCAAGATGAAAAAACAATATACTGTATATTAAAAAAATATGTATTTAAGTTTCTGCGCACTGGTGTGATGAGTGACCAGTAAACCACCTAAAATCTGTACAATTACCAAAATGTTGCAAAACTAACATTTAACAAAATAAGCTAAACTTGTTTAAACTTTGCAGTAGTGCTTCAGGTCAGAACAATAATAATAAAAATATTATATATAAATTACTTAAATATGATTAATTAACAAAAGTATGATTCAAATTTGGGAAATTGGAAATATCTGATGAAAGAACAGGCAATGCTTAACAATATTAACATGTATTTATTTATTCAGCATCTGTCAAATATAACATTTTTATCATGTTCAGAGCCAAAACAATTTGTTGATCGATTTTAATAACTGACTCATCATTTAAATAATTTTTCAAGTAAAAATAAAATTTTGTGGTTCCAGATTCTCTGTTTTTGTTTTCCTTTGTCGTTTATCACAGTAAATTTAATATATTTGGGCTTTTGGACTATTGTTTGGACAATACAAGACATTTGAAGAAGCCAACTTGGATTTAAGGAAAGGTGATTTATTGATTAATTGAGAAAATAACTGGCAGATTAATTGGTAATGAAAATAATTGTTAGTTGTAGCCCTAATCATGCTGTTTCGTCTGAATATGTCTATAGCTCATATTTATCAGCGCACTTAAACTATGTGATGAACATAGCCTATTTTAAGACGTAATTCATTGCAAGCTACCTTTTTATTAATATGTTTAATTTAAGCATATACACATTAGTATAACAAAAAAGAATAATCTAAATTAAGGTGTATTTAACCTGACAACATGGCCCATCTAATCAATCTAAATGTTCTCTTAGTCCTCTACTAAATGAATTCATGCAACATTCATCCACACCTCACACAATTATTCATAGACACACTTCCCACTACCTTTTTTTGTTTGGCCAGTAGTATAGAAGTAGAAAGACAAAATTCTGTCAGTAAAGCTGAACCCAGCCTGGAACATATTTGTGGACAGGTTTGAGTCGAGGCTCGTCGCTGCTCCTGCTGTTTGCTGAGTGGTGCAGTGAGGCAGCCATTCATTCAAGTAGGCAAGTAGTGTGTGTTGTTTTCACTGGCATTCCTCAATCCTGTATTAGGGATTACATCAAGCCCTGAGCAGGAAGGAATTCCTGTCATCATGTGGTCAGCGAAGGCAGCGTTTGGCTCGCCAAAAAGAGACACGGATGCAGCCATTTGGCCACTGAAAGAAGGTCAAAGAGTAGTGTCTGTGTTTGTCAGTGGACAGCTTGTGTGTGTGTGTGTGTGTAAGACAGGGGCAATAAATATTTAGCGTTGGTATCAGCGAACATTTTGTGTACAAACTTACATGTGAGCATCACAATATTTTTCTTAGAAGTATCTAACTTCCTTCTTTGACATTAGATAAGGTCAAAATGCCTCAAACCACCAATCAAGCGAGGAATTTCCAGTTATACAACCACAAATGCGTCATAAAATACACCAAAAGCAGACATGGGGAGCTACAAATAGCCTTGCTACGGATTTCAACAGTGAAGATACACTACATAGAGGACGTTCATCCATCTGTGTTTTTTTTCCAAACATCCCTCCGGACACCTCTCCACCTCCGTCATAACTCGCTGTTCCATCGTTTGCTGCAGATCGCTCTCTACTATCCATGTTGTCCTGTCAGCAAAGCGGAGTCCACAGGGAGAGGACAGTATGGAATGGTCAGCCAGCCCGAAAATAGCACTGCAGCGAGTAAACGCAACTGATAGTGAGGGGGGTTTTAGTTATTGTCCCTTAGGTACACAACCACACAGGCACTTGGAATATATGGTACTCGTGTGAGCAGACACACACACACACACAAATAGTCGAGAGCTAAATCAAACCGAGCTTTTTGTTGCAAAATCATGAGTCATGGCAAGTCTATTCTTAGTCTGGGGGTGTTTGTGTTTGCCCAAGTTGTGTGCACTTAAAGTGATGCTGCACAAAAGGATAGAAGAGTATCCAGAATCTGTTTGGGAACAAGCTTTGGGTCACTTTGGGCAGTGGCGCGTAGACTCATCAATGCATCGCAGTTATATAAAACCGAGTTGGGACTGGCAGAGTGCCCCTTTAAATCTGAATTTAAGATTTCTAAAAAGAAAGTGAATCCAGTCAGATTTTTATTTTCATTTTACATTCCTATGTATCATATTTAAGTAGGTTAGGTTGGGAATTATTAGGTTGTTATTCAATCATTATTTCCTAATTCTCTTATAGAGCTTTCGGCCCTGGGGGGGCTTTAGTGTGAGGCCGTTGCCTTCCAACAACCACGAAGCTGGGCACAGAAAGTGTGAGCGTCCGCAGTGCCAGACTCACAGGTGGAAGTTCCACCACAAAGACCACTCAGGGTCCTGCCGGGGGAGAGGCAGGCGGAGGGACGGACGGTTGGACGTGGCTCCTGTGGGTGTTTCTCTGGCAGTGTCTTAGCTGGTTGTTGTGAGGAGTGAGAACGAAGCAATCAGCAAGTATACTGCCGCAGAAATTCTTCGCAATAAGAGGCCCCGGGCACACAGCCGGCAAAAGGAGAAAAACGCATATCAGCATTGTAGCCGTCATGGATCCTGCTGTTACTGTAAGTTTTTACATGTGTGTGCTGACACTGTAGAAATTAACTGAGGACCTGGTACAGAATTAACTAAAGATAGATCAACTGAGAGCAAGGCCTATTTGTTAACAGTCTCTACAATATTTACAACTGGATCAAAGCATCAAACTTCCACACTGTGTGTTGTACTTCTATGATCCTCTGCTGCCATCTTGTGACTGAAAGCATCGTCCCAATAAGCTTTTGTTCATTAAACACTGCAGCAAATTGTAAAACCTACATTGTTTATCTTTTTTCAGTCTAAAATCCCCTTCATTCAGAAAATATGGCCTGGCTTACCGTGACCTCATTTAAAAATGCATGTCGTTTTTGTCACTACATTTAATTTTTCTTTGTGAATTATCATTTATCAAGTACTTATGTCTGGATGCTGACATATTAATAGTGAATATGATTGAGTCCTAATTTATTAGTTGCAGCCAAATAATTTCTTCATGTCATAAATTATGACTGTACAAAAGGGGTAAATAAAAGCTAAATAAATCAAATTATCCTTGTTTGTTTTCACAGTGCACACGCATTTTGTAATCATGAAAAACTTGTGTTGTATAAACCACTTTGCACTGTGTGAAAGCACTTTGAGACACTTGAAATAAAAATTATGTTGCCATGCGAACACAGAAGACCTAATGAGTGCAGATGAGGCAGAACGGCCTGGACGCCAGGTGCACGCTAATTTAGGTTTTCACAGGCACACACAGCAAACGCAGACAGAGCTGAATGTATAGAGCGCTCCTGACTTAAGATCCAAAGAAGCGGCTTTTGTCTACTGAATCACATAATCTGTTCTTTATTTATTATTATCACTTTATGGACAATTTTGCGTTTTTTAAATCTGGTAATCGGTTGTGTGATTGTGGTGAGAATGCAGATGCGTTTGCTGCAGACTGCAGGAAACAGACAACGGTGCCTCTGCATTGCTGCAAACACAAAAAAAGAGGATGCAGTTTTTTCTGGGCTGCAGCAATGCAGAAGCATTAAAATCCTGCTCTCACACAAGGTCACCGCTTTATGGCTTTAAGACGTTCTACACTTCAACTCCTTGGAAAACTACAATTATAAGGCCACCAAAGCATTAACAGCTGCTCGACACAAAACATTACTCATTACTTAAAAATGTCACAAACCCTTCCTTTATTATGGGGGGGGGGTTAGCCCAATGAACTGTTTGATAACAAGGAAATTTACTTTGAGGCCAAAGGTGACCTCCAGCAGCACATTTTAATTAAATCTGAATTATAATTTAATTTGGAAATTCTTGAGATAGTCCCTGTTAAGTGAGGGTGACAGTCTCAGGTTCTCAGCCTACATGTTGGATTGTTAGTGCAATGTGTTATTGTGAGCTGCCTATCAAAACAAGAAGGAAATATGTGCTTCATCTGCATTGTTTTCCAACTGGTTAACGGCACAGGGCGGAGGAATATTGAGAAATTCATATACGTTCTGTGGACGACCATAGCATTGATAATACAGAAATTAGGGCTAAAATGATTATTAAATGAATTGATTATTCAATTGACACTCGATGAATTATTCTAATCATTTACTTTACTGAACATCACTCTGAGCTTCCAGGTCCTCAAACTGGTGGCTTTTTTTTCCGTTTCATGTAAATGTAAATTTAATAACTCTAGAATTTGCAGCATTTGTCAGAAAGACATAACCCTGTGTTCTCAGAAACTGTGACAGGCATTTTCAATTCATTAATCTTATCAGTAATGAAAAATAATCATTAGATGCAGTTCAAATAATATTTTGGGGATGAATATAGGTGTTTTCAGAAGATATTTACATACAAGAACAAACTATAATGCCCGGTGTTTATGGCATTAGCAAATAAATCTCTTTCCAGCCCACAACTCAAAATCCTGCAGCTAGGATTTTACTGAACAAATTAATATCAGCTTATTTCACTGATCCTCGCATCCATAAACTGGCTTCCAATTGTTTTGTTTTTTTCTATTTTTACTTCTGTAAGTTATTGACTGTTTTATTAGCTTACATTTTGTACAGTAAAGCCATTTAAGTGTATTGGTAAGTTTTAATAAAGAGTGGGACAGTTGTTACAAATGAAAATAAATATTTTAAAATAAAATCTGATATGAAATTCTGTACTTGTGCTGTTAAATGACCTGATTAGTGCTGTGTGTGTTTAGCATGGAAATGACAGGTGTTATAACAGAATATCTATATATATAAACCCTGCCTGGAATAGGAACTACAATAACAGGTTGTCATCTGTTCTTATGTGACAAACTCGCCATAGCTTTACACACAAGTACGGACCATAAGAGACATAAATAGACCTACATGAGTCTGCCTATTACCAGCTGACTGACTTCTGCTTTTGGTTCCGGTTGAGGCAGGCAGGGAGGCAGGCAGGCAGGGAGGGAGGGAGGGAAGGGTTAAATACTGAAGAAAAGTTTGTTTGGCTCCCTGAAACGCAATGGGCGAAGTTTACTAGCGAAGTCAAGACTGGTGTTTCAAATGTCGCTTGGCTTTAAGGGGAAATCACGCGGAGAGACTATGGCAATAGTCTAAATGTAGACTACAACATGAAAGACTAGTCTGCTGGTCGGTGTTTGCAAACCCTGGTTGCACTGTTTACCCTCGACACTGAGCGATGGCTGGGGGGAATCACACGGTTGTGTACTTGTCCGAGCAGGTGATCGTTTTGATTTCGTGCTCGCTGTCGTTCCTGGGCTCCACGCTGATCATCCTCACCTACTTTATTTGGCCCGATTTGAGGACGACCCCGCGGAAGCTGCTGGTCTACCTCTCGGTGTCTGACTGGATGTCCGCCGTGTCCTACGGCTTCGGAGTCTGGAGGGTTTTCGGGACCGACTCGCTGGAGTGCGTCGTCCAAGGAGCGATATCCACTTTCGCCAACACCAGCTCTTTCTTCTGGACCGTGGCCATCGCTGTTTACCTGTATATTTTTATCGTGAGGTCCAGTCAAAGAGTCGCTGACAGCCTGGTGTTGTTTTTCCACATTATCAGGTAAGTGGCGCGGGTTGGTTGTAACGTTACTTCTATTTATTTTGCTGCTAAGCCAAACTTTGAAGCCATTGGTGAATTTTGAGATAATAGCTAACGTTAGACAAGTATGTGAGCTTTAGTGGGAATGCCGCCGAACCTGTACCCTCCCTGAAGCATCTTGTGCTGGAAAGTTAATGTACTGCTTCCATTAAACTGGAAAACAAAGGTTTCATTACAGTTTATCTGGTAAATTGGTCCAGTTTGCTCACGAAAACCAAAAATAAGAGCGATGTTTCCATGGTGACAGTGTCGGGGGGGCATTCTGGTCCACGCGGACTCGTTGTAATTGCTGAGGTCACAAAGGGGCTGCTGACTTTCCGTCTAAAAACTGCATCTGAAGTTAAAGGACATCCTAGATTTGACTTTATGTCTGACTCAGAAACTATTAAACATTTGTATGTGCTCATAAAACAACTAATAGCACAAACTGACTTACGTATATGTCAGCAGGTAAGCTCCATCTCTCAGCGGGTCAACTGATGTTACCATAACAACCGGACTCCACCCTTGTTGTTTATCTCAATAAGCCAGACAAACAGTATTAACTACTATGAAGGCTGCTGTGTCGCCTAAAAGAGAAACTTTATTTTAACCTGTAAACTATAATTAAATAAAATTCTCCAGTCCCATATGACTAAATTATGTCATTTGTTTAAACTGGGCTTGCTTATTAACTCTGGGTTGTCTTTTTATAATGGTCTAAACCTGTTTTACCAAGGCAAATTCCTTTTGAACCTTTCAACAACAAGGCAATTCAAAGAGCTTTATGGAAGACATAAGAAAATACATTAAAACAAGATATAAAACAGCACAAAACAATATAAAAACACATAATATTATTATGTAGTATAAGAGTACAATAAAATGGAAGATGAAAAAAGATAACATTTAATACAACAGAATAAACAGGGGAACGAACAATCCACAGCGCAAGATATGGGTGAATAATCCCAGATTTAATTTAATAAAAATGCAATCGCAAACAGAAAAGGTGTGAGCCTGAGCACACCTCAGGTTTCCTGCAGATATAGAAACTGAACGCTGCGTATGGGATTACTGTAGTGAAGTGAAGTAGACAATACATGTTATGCAAAGTCACCACAATATTTCAAGTTGTCTACCCCCCCATAATGAATTTAAATGGAAACCCAATAGAAATGTGGTCACAAAAAAGAAGTTGAATGCTGCTTCCCCAGGTTAAAGTCAAGCTTTTCTCTGTTATTTCACCTTTACTGGAATACCCTCCTGCTTAACAGGAAGTAAACATTTAGATTGTTTTAGATGTTGTTGAGTGACCAACATTTGGAAACTTCCTGCAATTGTTTTTCTCACCGTGTGCCAGTCACAGTACACCCAGACTTGAACTGACAACACTGGGGGAAACGTTTAGAAATTTACTCTGAATTATTGTTCCCTTGCCGGGAATTATTCTCACTTGGTGCAAAAGCAGACTTGAGATAATGATGATGCATTAGCACCTGTCTTCATATGTTAGTATCAGTAAAGTTTTTAAATAACAAAATTGGAAATCAGATCCTTCAATCATCAAAGGTTTTTTTTAAGCACAGAAATGCAAACATTAATTCCCCTTAAGTTTGAATTTGTCACATTAAAACACACAAAATTATTAGATTTGATCACTGAAATTATCCCTGATGTACCACACAATATTAAGCAGCATTTTCCTGGTCCCAAAGTGATGCCATAATTTGTTATTTCCAAGCTTAATTATCACCCAATACTGATACAATTTTAATTAGTCCCCAAACTACAAATCAACCTCGACAAACAAGGCTTCGCTGTTTAAAAAGGATCTATTTGAAGGCTGTCAAAAGGTTTAGCAAACCACTTGTTTTGTTGTAAGCTAGACTCCACTTTGGATGCTCTGGATCAAACACACACATGTTTGATCCTTTGTGTCAGCTTTCCTGCTGCACATTAATGAGCTGTCCATGTGGATTGTGAAGATGTAAACAAGGAGTTGTTTCACTGCGCTGTATAATTGATCTATTTTTGGACCCAAGAACATTTTCACCCTGGGTACGCCTCACAGCAGTGTCGGTAGTTGTCTTTCTAATTTTGTTTCTGTGAATTCTCAAATGGTCCATTGATTTGAAGATTACACAACAGATCCATTCATCCACACACACACACACACACACACACACACACACACACACACACAAGGCCTTAAGTATTGTTGTTTTTATGATGATCAGCCACATATTGCCATGAAAATGTAGTGTTCTTTTACATTGCTGTTTTAGGAGAAGAGGTAACGGTTTAGGGGGGAAATGTAGCGAACATTGCTTCTCAAAGTGCTGAAATCATGTTGTGGTTTTCTCAGCTAAAGCAACACAATGACTCTGCATTGTCAGATATCTACCAAAAACAACCCTAAAGCACAAGATAATCTATCACTTGGTGTCACATGACTTTGCAATAAGCGTTGGACCAACCAAACATTTAGGTGCAAACATTGTGAAGATACTCAAAGATAGGACGTTGACCTTTTGAGGAAGTTGTGTTTAATCCTCTCTGTTTTGTGCTCTAGCTGGGGTATTCCTCTGGCCATCACTGTTGCAGCCGTGTCCCTGCACAAGATTGGCTACGATGCGTCAGAGGTGTCGGTGGGCTGGTGCTGGGTCAGCATCCACGCTCCTGACCGGGTGCTGTGGATGCTGCTGACGGGAAAGATCTGGGAGTTCTTGGCTTATCTCACCCTCCCTGTCCTCTACATCCTGATCAAGAGGCACATCCACATAGCGGTGAGAACCAGACCAGGTTTTTACCAGCGTAATGCTAGCTCTTATTACGACAACAACCTTGGAACGCTTAAAAACACATACATATTATATTATTTTACACAATTCAAACTAGAAAGTACTCAGAGAGCACATATTATACCTCATACAGGGGATCTCTTGAAAGTTGCTGTACACACGTCCCTTTTATAAGTACAGTGGATCTCCAAAGTCAGTAAGATTTATCTTCTGGGGACCTTAAATGTCCCCACAAAATTTCACAGCAATCAATCTGATTGTTGAGATATTTCAGCCTTTACCAAACCAACATTGCTGTCCCCAGAGCCCTGCTGCCAAACATCGCTTTCTCATAATATTAAGAAATCCTTTGTAAAAAAAAAAAAAAAAAAAGTCTTTGATCCACCCCTTGATCTCAAGTAGTGAACTTCTTGTTCTTTGGCCCATGGCATCCAAATGAACATGTCTATCATGTTGAGAAGATCATCTGCTATCCTCTGACACATCTCATTCTTATCATTCTTATCATTCTTATTTTTGTTTTCTGCTTTTTTGTTTTTTTTATGTTTTTTTGTTGTTTTTGCTTAAACTGTCTGACACAGCATGCTGCCCTGTCCGAGTATCGCCCCATCTTGGCCAACAGGCCTCAATCACAATCCTTCTCCTCCATGGCTGATATGAAGCTAACACTCATTCCCATTATCTTCATCGCCCTGCGCATTTGGAGCACAGTGCGCTTCATACTGCTGCTAGCCGACTCTCCAGCCAGACAGAACCCAGTGCTGGTCACTCTACATGTGAGTTTAAAGTTTCTTTTAAACCAGTGATGTCCAGTGTACAGGATTATCCCTTTTAATCTCCGTTTTTATCCTACAGTTTACTTCTCCTGCTTAATGCTGCTTCATCCTTTAGACTGTGTGTGTGTGTGTGTGTGTGTGTGTGTGTGTGTGTGTGTGTGTGTGTGTGTGTGTGTGTGTGTGTGTGTGTGTGTGTGTGTGTGTGTGTGTGTGTGTGTGAGACAGCACATCAGTGTGGGTGGATGTGTGTGCTATCATTAGTTTATGCGCAGTTAAACTTGTGATGGTGTGATGCAAGCTGCCATCACACATTTAGTGAATCATCACACGTTCATCACAAAACCATGAAAAGTTCCTGTACGGATAATTTTGAACATCCACATAGTAGCATAATAACTTCAAAATCTATTAAAATGTCCTTCTGCATTAGTTAAAAAGCCTTTATGATGTAATAACTTTATGGACAGTTTTGTTCAATCATATTGTGACTATAAGTGTGTGTGTAAAATATTTTTATTTGATATCATAACACAGTAGTTCATAAAACAAATGAACTAATGAAATATATGTTATTTTATCAGTCAATTAAAACCAATGTCAAAATATTGAATATCCACTAGTGACAAGCATTGTCTGAACTCAAAATATCTCTTTATCAGATAATAATATTAAGAGGTTTTATTTTAAGGGACATTTTATTCCAGTGTAATAATTTCTTACTGCCACACTCCCCTAATGGCTTTTGTTTGGACCCAACAGGGGATTGGCAACACCTCTCAGGGAGCAGCCAACTGCATCATGTTTGTATTGTTGACTAAGCCAATCCGCACGCGCCTCTGCACCGCGCTCTGTTGCTGCTCCAAGTGTCGAGCCGAGCAGGCGCAGCACTCGCACGACGCCGCTCACACGCTGCTGCCGGGACAGGACACAGCCACACAGAGAGGGGAAGACAACCCCAGTCGAGTCCGGACTGATAGATGATACTCGTTTCTGGGGATGTGAAACTAGACGAAGGTTGACATGAAGGGAGAGCGGTGGCGGGCTCCACGTAATATTGAGCCTCATTACAGGAAGTGCCTTCAAGAGAGGGTTGGAGATTCATGCACATACGTGTCACAGGGAAAAAGTCACATGCACTTTGGGTGATGAGGATGATATTACCTGACTGTGCTGTTGTTGCAAATTGTATATGTTGCACATATATGTGGAAGTTTTATTATAGATGGGCTGTACATCAAACTTTAAAGTGGTTCTTTGTGCACGTTTTCTGGTTGCATTTTGAGCACTCTCTGAAAGAGCAGCTTTATTTATCCCGTACTGTGTGGAGTCACTTACATTCTGAGGTTGTCACTGTGAAATTAATATTTCTCTTTCATCTTGTTCCACTGAGAATTAGAGTATTGTATTTATGGAGGAAAGTTACTTACCATAATAACAACTGTATAGCGTTCTCACTTTAGGTGATAAACATACTGTAAATGTGTATCTTTTCATTGTCACTGTGAATTTTGGTGATAACCCTCACAAAATCTTATCTTTCGTCTATCAGGGTGTGTTGGCTCTGAAAAGGTTTGTCATTTTCTTCAGAGTTCGTGTCAGTTAAAGCGGATTCACAGAAGAAAACATCTGTAGAAACTTCTGATTCCGGTCCTGCACCTTAATCTTCATCACTGTACATCTGTATGCTCAGTCATTGGTTTGCTAAAATATGGCTAAATAATTGTAACAGAGCTTCCAGGAGGGAACTAGCACCACATAGAAACAGTGTTTTTAGTCATATTTTGGTGAGTCTTTGTAACATAATAAATGCTGATGCTTTGATCCTTTATTTTATATAAACCCGTCACCATTAAAATCCATTGTAACTGGCATGAACTCGAGCTGACCACAGCTGCTGCTCTGTAAGTGAGCTAACTTTCTACAGCCGTCTTTCAAGCATGATATTGATAAGAGGTTTTTTTTTATACATTTTGGGGTTATCGCTTTAATATATTCTGTAATATAACTTTAATGTAAAATATTTTCCCAATTTCTATCAAATATGACTTTGGGTGTGTCCAAACGGTTTGTGTACAATAAACCTGATTACATCTGACATTGACTTCAATATCTAGTAAATGAAATGAAGAGTTGTATTGTAACATAAAACATGCTCCTATGATGCTCATATCGGGTATTAATTCTTGCCTAATTTCATAGTTGCAACATTAGACAGTAGATGCAAAACCTCATCCATGTTGCCAAATTTAACTCAACATCAATAAGGTCATTGTGGTCAGGATGTATGATCTATCATCACATGCTATCCTTCCTCCTTGAAACCTGACCCACTTCTCCTTTGACCCCTGTTACTGCTGGCTCCTGTTTGTCCGAATGAGCTGCAGGATGAAGGCAAACCAACAAAGCAGCATGAACCCACTGAACCATAATGGGACCGACCTGGCTTACGACCACAAAGCCACTTCCTGTAGTTCCTTCAGCTTCTTCAAAGTATTGTCTGAGATCCATTGAGTCTTAACAAGCCTACCGCAGAGATGATGAGCTACATTCAAATAAGATTCATTACTGTGATCGTTGGGAAAGAAATTCCACCATGTTGACAAGCCACTTTTCTCTTATCCTCAAGCAATTGTTTGACTCTCGCAGAGGGCAAGCGCTTCTTTGGGATGTCTTGTGTAGGTGTTGTCATAGCAAGTGGATTTATGGATCTTATATGGTCTCTGTTGGTCTGTTTGATGAATTAGGCAATGCAGAAGTGGATAATGTTGCTATAATAAGCCTTCATATCAGCTCGGACAGGCTTTCCATTACACTGAAACAACTCTGCTCTTATGAGGACACTTAGTTCTCATACATTATTTACAGAACATGGAGACTTTATACTGAAAGTATTAAAAACATAAATATTTATTTTATGAGATAGAGTTTCCATACTGTCTAATTTTATCTGTAGTCTAAATTAATGCAACACAGTGCAGAGTTCACTCTCACAGGACCATCAATAACACTGACAGAGCACTGGATACCACATCTGGGAAAATGGAGGAAGTGAAAGCTGTTTATGCCGATGACATCCAAAACTGCCAGTGAACAGTTTTTTTGTCCTTGAGGACGATGGAGGCCACGCAGAGGACCGACACTTACTGTATTTCCTGCAGGAATTAATCTATTGTGTGGGTTCTGAAATCTGGCTGACATTGAGGTAACTGGAGCCTGTGGAAACACTTAAGGAAGAGGTTTGTGTTCTCTCCTCTGCTGGCTCTCTGCCCACTTAATTCATTAAGTTAAAGTGTACCAGAGGGCCGTACTACACTGCATGGGCTGATCATTCACCAGTGAAGTTAATGGAAGTCACAACACAGGCTGCTCATTTGGCAATGCCGGTGGTTCCCAGAGCCAGTTCTCAAGACACTGTCCAACAAAGGTAATAGGCAATAGGTTTGAGCTGCGACAGGACATTTTAATTATAAGTGACAGAACAGAAACACTACAAGCATTGTGCATTTGTTCTAAAACTCACATTTTAAATTCCTAAATTTCCCAGCTCTGTGTTTAACGACACATTCTTCCTTTGATATCAAGCCATAATTTCCATCGGGTTTCCCCACAAGAAAACTACATGACAACATTAAGTCACCATCTGAGTGTGACCTTAGAGGTGAAGTCTCCTAATGAGGAAACCTGCAAACTGGCTCCATCATTTGTCTAACGAGGTTTCACTTCTCTGCATAGCTGAGTGTCAAGAAGCAGGTGAGTACAAAGCAAGAAGGGAAGGACCCAAATGCAGAGACAGGAAAGGGCTCAGTGATTTATTGGCAAAAGTAAACAGAAGTAACTGAGGGCCCACAACTAACACAAGCACAGATATACCCCAAAAGGTGGTTTGAGTCTTTGCCCTTTTGCCCCAGACTTGACAAGTGCCCTCTTGGCTGATGTTAACTATTATATATACCTCCATCTCTCAATGAGCTGAATTGTTCTGCCCTAAAATCAGTATCGTATTGGCCCTAAAAAAAAATAAAAAAAAATCAGTCAGGCTCTCAATCTGTTTGTATCCTTCCTAATTTTACGTTCTGGAGAAACCCACTGATCTAATGTGACTGAAGGGGTCTAAACAACTGAACAATTAATGAATTTAACGAAAACATGTCCATTATGTGTGGTATATAGAATTTGTAAGTGGAGTGCTCCTTCAGCTCCTTTTTAGCTTGAGACCCTGCCCCTAGAAAATGTCTGGGACCTGGGACAGGTGTGAAAGTCTGAAGGCATCTGGTGGCAGTGGATGGGCAGAAGGGAGGGACAGAGGGGCACAATGTGACACTGAGGTTAGTTTTATTGCGCCGCTTTGCCAAATCTAGTAAAAAAAACAATTCAAGCCAGAAATTCTGAAAGTCATCCCGCTCTGTATCTAAATGGATTGAAGACATTAAGCTTTTGATTTTGCTCAATAGAAAGTATTTTATTTTTAATGTTCATGTTTCCCTTTAAACAAGCTGCCTAAATAAGTCCAAATCAAGCACTCCATCGTTTAGTTAACTGTATAAAAATCTATAAGTGGCCTTTCATGTTGACTTTTGTTTCAGTTAAATTCTTACAGATTATCTTGCTTTACTTAACACTACATCTTTTATGATATTTTGCTCTGAGCATACATAGTTCTGACTTCTATTTATTCATATTTCCCACCGGTATTATTTACTCTCAGACATGTTAGCCTTGTTTTTGCAGTGAGGCATCCTGAAGCAAATAAAATCCAGTTGCAACAGCAAACAGCCTCAGGGCCATCTTTAGAGATAACAGCAATGCAGCACGTGACAAACTGGAGACAAAACAAACACAAAAAGACATTTGCAGCTGTGGGGTTTGTGCAGAAAATTACTCTATTCTGTAATCAGTGAGTGTCTTCAGTGGGAGAAAAGATAAATCCTTCAGATTGCTCAAGGATCCACACATAAGTCTTTTCCAACGTTCTGTGATTTCAGCCTTATGTCATCATTTTGTAATAACACCTCTTCTTTAATCCAGCCTGCAGGTGGATAAGCAATAAAGATGCAGGTGGCATTATCATTTGGTGATAAAATAACTCCAGCCTTTAATGACAGCTGTAGGTTCCATCAATTGGACCAATTCAGTTGAAATTGCAGTGCAATAAAAGTATCAAATGCCAACATTCAGCCCCGGGCAGCATTTAATATCTTGAGTATATTGCATACAAAACTTCCTGAGCCCGAGAGCACAGTCAGCAACATGAAAACGATAACCGAAGCCAGGCTGTAAACCACTGCTATGCTCTCTGATCTCGTGTCCAAAGGGCAGATAGAATCCAGTGGTGCAGTAATGACAGAGTGAGCTGTTATTATTGCTGAAAGTGAGTCCAAACACAGCTAATGGCGGATATTGAGGAATGGGGGAAGCCTGTGGAGAGGAGAGGGGTGAGTGCGATTATCACATCGATGTTAGTATTGTCTGTTCTGTGAGGGTGTACACACAGGGTGATCATGATGGATGATGTTTGTGTTGCAGAGATTAACTGTGGTGCTGGCACTGGCAACACTCATATCTGCATTTGGTTCTTCATTCCAGTACGGTTATAATGTGGCTGTTATCAACTCTCCATCTCCGGTAACCAAAGCAAAGAAACTGAGTATTTAGTGTAACACAGAGTGATACTTGATGTGTTTTCTCTCACACTTGTCCTCTTCTCTTCAGTTCATGCAGCAGTTCTATAATACCACCTACCTGGAGCGCTATGGCAGCCCAATGGAGGACAACTTCCTCACTCTGCTGTGGTCTCTCTCTGTGTCCATGTATCCGCTTGGAGGCTTCTTTGGCTCTCTGATGGTGGCCCCTCTGGTCAACAAACTAGGGAGGTAATGCTGCATGTTAAGCCTCATGCAACAGTGGATATGTCACATTAAAACACAATAAAAAAAACGTTTGCCTAATGTGACTTTAAATGCACAGGAAGGGCACCCTCCTCTTCAACAACATCTTCTCCATGGTCCCTGCTGTGATGATGGGAGTCAGTGAGATTGCCAAGACCTATGAGATCATCATTGTGGCTAGGTTTATAGTTGGGATCTGTGCAGGTATGTTCAAGTTTTTCAAGGAATCAAGACTGATGAGAGTACATTATAAAATGTTTCTTAACTTCCCTATGTGCAGGCCTCTCGTCCAACGTGGTGCCCATGTATCTGGGAGAACTCTCTCCCAAAAACCTGAGGGGAGCCCTTGGCATCGTACCACAGCTCTTCATCACCATTGGCATCCTCAGTGCACAAGTGTTGGGCATCAGAAATATACTTGGCAACAGCACAGGTAAATGTTCACTGATAAGATGCTGAAGCAAATCCAACAGTTTTTTGGGGGGCTTTTTAGGTTGGTCCATTCAGTGGTGTAGTGGTGCCTGGAGGAGTGGGTATTCTCTTAATTTATGCCCCTAGAGGGTCCCATCCAAGTATAAATGTCCTGTGTTATAAACATTGACATATAACACTACTCTTGCATATTTAGTTCACCCAAACATTAACAAACATTAGCCACCGAAGAGATGCAGTTTTTGCATCAATTCTGGCCCACAGACAGGCGACATAACTACCTAATTATACATTTTGAGAAAGTTACTTAATCCACGCATTCAACTTGCAGAAGACAACTGAATGATACACAGTTGAGGGGATCTGCACTACACCATGAAAGAGGTGTCTCTGTTCCCTCTGTATCCAGGTTGGCCCCTCATGCTGGGTTTGACCGGTATCCCTGCCCTGATAGAGCTCTTGCTGCTGCCCGTCTTCCCAGAGAGCCCCAGGTACATGCTCATCCAGAGAGGAGATGAGAAGACAGCAAAGAAAGGTAAGAAAACACCAAAACTGCCTAACATGGCTGAGAGGCAGAGGGAGAGTAGATGAATAAAAACTAGCAATAAAAACTGTATATTATGATGTTCTGTATGTTTTGTCACCTTCAGCACTACAGCGTCTGCGTGGCTGGGAAGACGTGGATGCAGAACTGTCAGAGATGCGTCTGGAGGACCAGTCGGAGAAGGCCGAGGGCCACCTGTCTGTGCTCAGCCTGCTGTCCCAGCGCTCGCTTCGCTGGCAGCTAGTCTCCATCATCATCATGAACATGGGCCAGCAGCTGTCGGGGGTCAATGCGGTGAGTCACGCCCGTCGCCAGTTGTCCTTGTTCTTGTCCCTGACCCACTAATGCCCACACCAGCTCTGTTTCAGATATAACACCAGTCAGACTGTCATTGAATCCTGTGGATAAAGCATCAGGACACAAAGCAGGATGAGTTTTCTCCAACTCTTGGCTAATTCTGTAACCACAATGCATTTCTCTCTCCCTCCTCAGATCTACTACTATGCAGATAACATATATGCCACTGCAGGAGTCAATCAGAATGACATCCAGTACGTCACTGTGGGAACAGGTGCAGTGAATGTCTTCATGACCATAGCTGCTGTAGGTACCCTGTTAACACCTTTGAGAGGAGGAGCTGAAATCTACAGTCTTTTGTTTGATCATATCTGCCGGGGATAATAGTTCTAAACAGGGAATTTGTTTTACCAGGTCTTCATCGTGGAGGCCTCGGGAAGACGGCTGCTCCTCCTCTGTGGGTTTGGGATCTGCTGTGGAGCCTGTGTGCTGCTTACTGTTGCTCTCACCTTCCAGGTAAAGTGTAAAAGCTCCAGTGTGATTCACAGTTTCAACGTGTTACTCTGCTGCCCTCTAGTGGCTCAGCATACAAAATAATTTGCTGTTTTATGTCAGAGTTTCTCAACCTTGGGGTCAGGAGATTTGTTATGGAGACTGAGTCAGAGGAGGTTGACAGGTGAATTATCTCTGTGTTTACTTCCAATAATAGAATATTGATCTAGCTCTGCACTCGAGCACATTTTACTTGAAATGAAACATTGACTATGAGATTAAAGTGATGAAATGTAACTTTAATTGAAGGTAGATGACATCCACCTCGGTTGAACTATGCAGGAATTGTAGCTTTTGTGTGCAAAATGTAAATACACATTAAAATAAGCTTAAATTAAGTCATTATACTTGATATATGGTTGCAAGCCTGTAGTCCACAGATCAGCCGACACTTTTGTATTTTCTGATGTTGACAGGCCAGTATTGCAGCCATCTTTACTTCTTGCTTGTTTTAAGGGGCTTAACTTCTTCAGACTACTGTAACTACAACAAGGTTATTATAGTTAACTAAATCTGAACTAAAAACTGAAACTAGGTGTGATAATTTTAGTTAACTGACAGAAAATTAAAAACTAGACATTAGCAAAAAACGAAAACTAACTGTAACAATATATAATAATAATTATAATACAAAATAGACCAAAATTCAATTCAATTAACCTGACAGATACTTACCTATATAATATTGACATATTATAAAAAACCTCTAACTTATACTAAAATTAATAACTAAAAATGTTTAATTTAAAACAGTAGAAACTAAACTGAAACGAGCAACCCCATTGTGGAAACTAAACTGAATTGAAAACAAAAATTAAAAACTAAATAAAAATACAAAACTATAATAACTCAGCTACCAACATGTCCAGTTAGACTGAGGTCAGGTGACTATATATATATGACTACTATTAAACTATAAAAGTGATGGTGACAGAGAAGCAGGACCCAAGAGCAGAAACACACAGGAGACTAGTCTGTCTCTCTTCAGAACCTTTACTTACTTTAGTAGCAGGCATGAATAAATACAGCTCTATAAACAGAAGGTGAAAAAACAAAACCTCTGGCAGGAACTCTGAAACATGGTCATTACAGTCAAGCCCAGACAGAAGGAGGGAGGGGTCTAATATACTCCCACAGGCTGTTGAGCTGATTGCAGGCAGCTGCAAAAGGGAGTCAGTTAGGGACCTCTGGTGGATCTGGAAGATAGCACAGGGGAGTTCGAGTTACTTGATTGCCTCATCCGTACTGCACGTTCAGGATTAGTGTCCTGCTTCACTGGGGGACTACGTATATGCTTATGAGTCGCCCAATATCGATTTGAACCACCTCAAACACCCTTAAAGGGTCGGTTCACCCACATGACAAAAACATAAACACCACCTCTAGTGGTATTAAGCCACAGGAGTGTATCTATGTTCCTAAGGTCCTATCCCCAACCCCCTAACCCCAACCCTAGAACTGGACAGCACTGGACCCTTTGTCATGTTCCCATTATGTAAATCTGGAGAACACAGGACTCTGGAATGTAGAAAGGACCATAGATTTGATTTTAGTTGTTCAGGTTTTTAGATATCAGTCTCTGAGATTTATAATGCCACCCAATACAACTGAGGTGAAAGGAATTGTGTATGTTGTGCTCACAGCAATAAACAATATTCTATGTTTTGATGTCTTAAAAAGCATTTTGGGTGTGTATCGGCTTAGTAACAAGGTGTGGACTCACAAAGCATGACTCACAGGAACAGGTAAAAGTAAAACAAAAGTTTGCTTTGTTACATGGCAGAGAACACCAAGGCAAAAAAATCGAGACGGTTGTAAACTGTTATTACAGAATTTGTCACATGAGGATTAAAATACTGTGCATTGACCATATAGCAGCATGTCCATGAAATGTTGGTATTATTACTTAAACGAACAGTCTTTATATTTGTTTGGTTTTTAGGCACTTCTACCAAGTACCAAGTTGGATATATAAGAGCTTTCAGAAAAAACAGACTCTCTCAATTGTAATTATTACTTATAAAACTCATACTTACAATATCTTCAGATATAACAGGAATGCAGCGTAAGGGGGCAGGTATATATACTGGGGGAGCTGATGAAGGAATAGAGAGCGGGTATGTGTCGAGATCAGGTGAGGCCTGAGGCTCTGAGATGGCAGAATACTTTAGTGAAGACAGACGAAACTGTCAGACTGGCTGAAGACTAAAAAAGTGCAAAAGATTTATAAATTATCTGTGGCCATGACAGAGAGAACCATCCCTTTAAAGCTGAATGTCAGCACTTTAACCTCGTGGTCACAGTTTCATTAAATTCCAGTGTACTGATGTACAAAGGCTAAACAGCAGCTACAATTTACTGTAATGTTTATGTATTATACATTTAGAGCTTGGTCTGGAAAATTAAATGCTGACCTGACATCTCTATTTGCTGGGGTCATGAGAACTTCAAGACATAAAAACAGAGTCACCCACCACAAAAGTATGAGAAACACTTGCCATTATACAGAACCACAAAACCAGTGCTTCCCCCCCTCCTGTAACCGTATGATCTCACCTGGATCCAAAATCATCAGACTGACATCAGTCTTCACAAGTTTAAGAGTAAATGCACAATTTAAAGAACAGGCACGCTAATAATCCACTGAGTGACGACTTTAATATGGACTCGCACACATGCGTTAAGGAGATTTAGTTGCGTATTTGTGCCTGTTTGAAAGCATCAATACGACTAGTTAACGATAACAGCAGCTGTTGGTTTGTGTTGACAGGAGAGCGTGACGTGGATGCCCTACGTCAGCATCACCTGTGTCATCATCTACGTCATAGGACATGCCATAGGACCCAGTGAGTCTGACCCCGCCTGTGGTTATTTACACACACGCTGATTACAACAGGGTGCTCCATTAGCTGAAGTGTTGTTTGGATGGGACCAGACATGTAATGATATATGTTGTAAATCTACAGTCAGTTGTTTTGAGACATGAGCATCCTCACTGTGACCCTGAAGAGTGATGATGTGTCTCGAGTGTTTTGGTTGTGGTTGACCACATCTGTGCTCTCCAGGTCCCATTCCTTATGTGGTGACCACTGAGATGTTCAGGCAGTCGGCCAGGCCCGCTGCCTTCATGGTCGCAGGCTCTGTCCACTGGCTCTCCAACTTCACTGTTGGCCTCATCTTCCCCTTCCTAGAGGTCAGTTACACAATTTCTAAGAGCCCTCACATTGCGGGAAAGAAAGTTTATTACTGTGAAATTGAATTAGTTACAGATGTTTTTTTTAAGTGTAAACAGAGGTCACATCCTGACTGTGACACTATAATTTATACTTTTATATTCTGAATTACTTTATTTCAGTATGTTTGTCTTCAGAATTGCAGGCATACTTTTAATTCAACTGAACTAAAGAAATTCCTGAACGATGTTAGCACTAAGTTGATTCAAAATATAACACATGAAAAACAATATATATTCAAGCAATTCAACATCATGGGAAATACACTTATGTGCTTCTTTCAAAGATTTAGATGAGAACATGGGCACCACTACCACTCACAGTCTTATCATCACCATGATGTTGCCAGGCACATAACCCCCTGTAACACCACACATCTGTTGTTAGTTAGCTGTTACCTGCACAGTTATTAAAAGTATTATCAAAATCCCAATATGACTAAGTTTATAGAAGGTAAATGTGTGACAAACAGCATTATAATAAGGTACTGCAGTGCTGCAGAGATGCCTTGGACTCCAAATCTTGTTCTCCAGGTATAAGGAAACATGTTTGTTTGGTACAGACTCCATAGTCCAATAGTTTTTTAAAGGAAAATTATAATTGTGATGCAAAAAACTCATTCCCACTAATCGTGAATCACAAGCTTAATATTTGTATGGACTAAACAAACCTGACATTGTCGTGTAATTAGAAATAATTAGAGTTTTAGAGGCGCTGGTAGGCTGATTTGTTACCTTTGGACAGAGCAAGGCTATTTATTTCCCTTGTTTCAAGTCTTTATGCTAAGCTAAGCTAACCGTCTACTGGCTGTACTATTGTTAAAATCCATATTTTCAGCAGTACTCATTATAAAGACTGAGAGTTAGTTTTAAGTGCTCTAATCCCCCTCCACTCAAAAATGTGTTGTGCTTATTGTTAATTCACTTGACTTTTTGACCTTCAATGAGCAGAATGATGTATGTGCAGAGTGTGTATATACTAGAGGGCTGCTGAAACAGGAAATCTGAGTTTAAGGCGAGTGTGTAAGAGAACAATCTTGACTTCACAACTGGTTTCGAAGTCAGTCAAGGTCCAGTATGTTAACTTATAAAGGTACTTATACAACAGAGAACTGACTTTAAAGTGAAGTAGGAGACTTTTTGTGTCCAGTAGTTAAACTTTGGAAAAGAAAAATATTTGCATATTCATATATTGCGGCTAGAGAAAGAGAGTAGATTTAATTCCCATCACATTCTTGTCATATATTGTGAAACATCCCTGGAGGGCATCTTGAATAATCTTTTAATCTTGCGTCCTCTTTCTATTTAGCAGAGGTAGCATTAGTCTCTGTTTATTGGGAGAGGCTTTGTCATTTTCTAACGGACCAAATGGCGTAATCTTAAGATACGAGATGAGATAAACATAAACATTATGCGTGTCTCATGTTCTCCTCTTCTAACCAGAAACCAAACTAGTGAAAAATTTGTTTTAGTAACAGAAACTAAAAAAGAGCATTCCAACAAAAGTAGCGTGCAAGTCACAACACTTCACCTCACCTTGGCTGCTGTTTGTGTCCGACCAACTGTTTCTGGCTAACATGTTTACAGTGTTTCATCTTGAGGACACACTGATCGCATTTCCTCCCCCTCCCCCCCTTCTCTCTCCAGAGAGGTCTGGGCTCCTACAGCTTTATAATTTTTTCCTTCATCTGTCTGGTCACACTGGTCTACATCTGGCTGGTGGTCCCAGAGACCAAGAACAAGACCTTCCTGGAGATAAGCCAGATGTTCGCCAAGATGAACAAAGTGGAGATCAAACTGGGTGATGGGGATCTACCACTGAAAGAGAGCAAAGAAAGCCTGGAGGATGCAGAGAGGGTCACAGCCTTCTGAAGAAAATGAGAGCATTCAAAGGAGAGGAAGTCTTCGCTCTTGGGGGGTATTGTAATGGACTGGAAATGTTTTAATTTAGACTCTATTTTTATTGTACAGGGAATCCTCACACAATCTCCTTTTGTACAGTTTGTTTGTAGCTGCTATTGGAAAAAATAAGATCTTTGTTCAATTTAATGCCATTAAACTTGATGTGTGCACTACATGCAGCCTTTTTAGAGACGTGAATGAGTCATTAAACAAACCAACAAGTCACTTGGAAGCCTTTATTAATAAGCAAAGATATGAAAACAAAACATGTCTGAAGATCAAAGATAAAACAGTTTATTGACTTTACAGGTGCCTGAAAGACATTTTACCCTTCATTACATACGCCATACACATTTTAAAATCCCTCCATCTGCAGTAATATGTTGGTTTATTGCAGCATTTTAAAGCTCATGCAAACACAGAAGCAGCTGAGCATCCTCAGGGGCATCTGTACTGACTGTCCAGCTGCACCCCTCCATACAGACTAAGTTTGGTGGTTCCCCAGCTGAACACATTTCCCACCGTGGTGCCGTTTCTCTCACATGACATCTGGTCCCGGATATCTGCTGTGGTCAGGACATAGTCCCACACGTTGACATCAGTCATCTTACCCACGAAGGCGTCTGCGTTAGAGATGCCCAGTAATCCATCCTGGTCTTTGCCCAGGATGAACACCCCACCGGGGTTGATTGTGTAACCGCTTTTCAGGTAGCGCTGCTCCCCGACCATGCCGTTGATCCACAGCTCCGCGCCACCGGTGTGGGACGACCAGGTGACGCAGTAGTTGGCCCAGTCGTGGGACCTGAAGTTGTGCGGCAGGTTGACGAACTCGTTGCCAATCCAGAGGCCCACCTCTCTTGAATCTTTGTCTTCGCCGATGGAGATCATCAGCTCGTTGTCGTTGCCGTTGCTGGAGTAGGAGATGACCGTGTGGACCCCCTCAATCTGAGGCAGGACATGCATGCAGGCAGTGAAGGAGTCCAGGTCCATGGCATGGCCGAGGCGGGCCAAGGCGTAACTACCAGAATTTTTCTCCTGGTAGCTGAGCACCAGAGGAAACAGACCGCGGGGTTCTGAGGAAGAGAAAAAAGAACAACATTTGAACCAGAAAATATCCATCTCCCTTTAATCCTCCACAGTCACAAATCACAGCTCAAATTCAGTCCGAATGAAAACATAGGACTCACCTGATTTGCTAGGCCTTGGGTTGCGAAGTCCACCTTTATGGGAATCATTAAAAAAGAGAGCAGAGTAATTATGGGCACTTTCATTTCACATCCAGCCATCTGTAGCAGCTTTAATAACTATTAGCTTACTCACCTGAATGTATGTTCTTTCCAAGAGACGTTATCAGACCCTCGATCTTCTGGAGCCTTGATTCGATTTCATCTTGCCGACAAAATGCTGAAAAGGCAAAAAGTGAATGAAAATGGCAAAGATCAGACTCAGGCCTTGGGAGAGCCCTACGTCACTTCTGAGAAATAAATGGTATTGCAATGTTTGGTAATCACAATGTTGCAATACGTTACACACTTCCTTTCCCGAGGCGTGGCAGGAAAGAAGACTCCACCACACGGTGGTTGAGAGGCTGAGCGATGCGGTAATCGTTCCACAGGGTCTTGTTGTCCATGTCCATCAGTGTACTCTCCAGTTTCCTGATCTGAACACAACAGACACGAAGACATTGCAGCACATAATATTCAGTAATAGCTGGTTTCTTTTGAATGGTGACCTTACGGTTCCATATATGACAGAATATCATTTATCAGCTGTAATTTTATGAACACAGACTTTCAACCTTACCTGGTTGTGTGAGAGAGTGATGGGCGTATCAAACACAGTCCAGAGGATGCTCTCGTAGCAGGGTGGAGTGGTGAGGGAGCCCTGGTATCTGAAGAAATGGTTGAGGTTCTCTGGGAGCATGGAGCGCACGTTGATGTGCGATATGTTCATGGACTGACCTGTCAGGGTGTACATTACAATCACATTAGACTCAAACTCTGAATTTAAAGTCAGTGCATTTCTTTGTGCAGTGACTCACCTGCATACTTGATTCTGTGCAGATTGGAGATGAAATCACTGTAGTAGGTGTTCTCAAAATGCCCGTCCTGAAAGAAAACCAAAGCTGTGTGAAACTTAAATCTTAAAGGTTTACTCAAAGCAGAAGGATTGTTGAGCTTATGTTGTTCATTGTTATTGTTTTTAAGGCTGAGTGGCATCACTCGTCGTTTCCAGTGTTGAAACATGTGATGTGAAACCCGTTTGAATATAACACAAGGAGTGACTTGAGCAAAAGTAAGCAAGATCAATATAAACTATTGATCTATGGTTTGATCTAAAGTACTTCTTTGAAAAGATGTCATTATTAATCCCTCATTGCACCAGAAAACAGTCTGTGGATACAAAAGGTCAAAGATTAACCTGTATGTCAATGAATAATGTTTTTAATGGACACTTTAATCATTTTAACACATTATATTCTGTCTGATCATCTGACTTCTGAGTGAAGAGTGAGAGAAATTAACACAATTATGATTTAAACAGTGGATGTCCCGTTCTTTTAGCCCCTGATATGATCAGAATCATTTAATATTGAGTATCTGCTGATACCGAGCCGATACCTGACTGTACTTTAAGTACATTAAAGGTAGCGTATTAAATCCAATCCCATGTTTGTCCATGACAATTAAATAGTTCTACATTGCATTATAAAAAAATGCCTGCATAGAAGCTCCATTTCTAGAATAAAATATAAAATTACAGATCTGTAATATTTATGTCTTTCTCCAGTGTTTGTTGCTTCAGTGCAGCTTTTACCTGAGTTACATCTGAATGAACTATATGTCTATTAATTACTCACTCTTATTGGCATTTTATTCGTGGGGCTTTTGTTGCACTTGCAGTGGGGTGTTCAGTCTGTGTCTGCCTCGAGCACAGGCAGCCCCAGCCCTGCGGTGAAGCTCCAAGGCGTGCGGTGCTGCCTGTGCTCTCAAACACACACAGAGGTGGAGGACGGGGAGAGTTGACGGTGGATGAATTCTTTAAACTTCCACGTCAATTACTCATTTGTTACTAAATGAGTTTGTCTGAATCGTACTAACTCTCGGCCCCTCTGTGCTGCTATCTGTCACGGTGGATGCCAGCAGGGGTGTTGCTGTAGCGATGACCTCCCCCAGCTGAGAGCCTGAGATCCAGAGCATTCCTCTGGAAACAAGCACTCATTCAATATGTCGGCATGCAAATGAACACTCAATAGAGGCTTTCAACCCGACAGGATGACCGAAAAACATATCATATACTTCAAAGGGCTTTTGGGTTATTTCACTACAAAGCAGAACTGATGGTCATATATCAGAAATAGTGTTGCTGACATCCTGTGTGAATGTTGAACAAGCTGGTGGTTAGAGGAAGGGTAACAAAGTGTGTGTGTGTGTGTGTGTGTGTGGGGGGGGGGTTACCTACATCATAGAAAAAGGCCAGTACTGCCAGCCCATCTGGTTTATCTCTGGCTTCAGTAAAGCTCTTGTACTTGTCAGAGTTGTAATGGACAACATGGAGCTGAAAGACACAGTGGAAATGCAGAACAGGTTAGGTGCCAAAATATGTCCAATGACCAAGCAAATTAAGGCTGGCTCAGAAAGCAATGACATATATCGGCAGGGAAATATTCAGAGGAAAACAAAGGCCTCTGTTTATACATTTACCTTTAGGCGGCTCAGAAATGGAGTCAAAGAAGAGGGCGAGGATCAGTTTTCAAATTAAAAGCTGCAGTTAATTCTGCTTTCCTTACTGATGCAACCCAAACATGATATACACTGTGGCAGTTACCTGAGGCACTGTTATAGTACTCACTTCAGCATCTCATAGCTGCTCAGGTGTGTTTGGTTACCCTTTAATAAAGGATGTTTGCATTGTGCATTAAAGGCTTGTCATCACTGCAGTTTGTTTCTACTCTGTCTCTCTTTATCGAGGCAAACTTAAACTTTGAATTTGTTAAATTCAGTCTATTTTAAACAAACCTCTGCCATGTAGCGGATGCCATCTATGGTGTGCTCCGCTCCGCTGGCCTCCAGGTCCCAGCCGCCCCAGTGCAGGTGCATCTGGACAGCTGTGTATTTTCCTGGGAGGCCCTCAGTGATCACCATGGTGGGAGGCAGGTCAATTTGAACTGATGGAGACATAAAGACGTTTAGATATTAAAGGAGCAGTGTGTAGTATTCAGTGGCATCTAGTTGTGAAGGTGCAGATTGGAACAATCTGAATATAGCTCAGCCTCCTGAACATGTAGGAGAAACTACAGTGGCTGCCAAACTTGCAAAAAATGCCCTATCTGGAGCTAGTGTTTGGTTTGTTTGTTCTACTGTAGAAACATGACGGTTCAACGTGGCGGGGAGAAGATCCACTCCCTCTGTATATAAAAACGTCTCATTCTAAGATAACTAAAACACAATGATTCAGGTATTTAAACATTACTGAAAACTTTCATATTGATATTCTATTCAATTACTGGAAATAGAGCCTCCTAAAATGTACACACTGGACTTTTAAAGTGTTTAATTTAAAATAGCCACTTGTTTCTCTACAGGCATTTCTGTGAGAAAATCCAATAAAAGACTCTTGAACCTTCTTGAGTTGTATAAACAGTGAACATAAAGTCTCACTGATGGGAAGTGATGAAGTGCAGACTTCTCCAATCAAATCAATACCATGCACGGAAAGTGTGCACATTGTGATTTTGTAATGGATTACACAACTCCATAAAGTTTTGAGAAGTTGCGAATTTTGTTTTATACCATAAAGAAATATATGCTTCAGAAAATGTTAAATTCTTGACATTAAAATGGTCAGCAGTCACATAAAGTTTGTTTAGTCCAGGAACTGGAACAGCAGAGACAGTGGTTTGGTCCTTACACACTGAGATTATATTGAGTTATTCATACATTTCCTCCATGCTGGCTTCTCTTACCCGAGTGCCCGTTGTTGGTCATGAGGAAATTCCCACTCTTAGCATCATAACCGCTCAGCTCCAGCTGTAACATGTCTGGGTTGTGTCTCACGCTGCGCCGCTGGATGTCGATTGGGGACTGCTTCTTGCCGCCACATGCAGGGTACTTGGTCGGCCAGTGCATCTGGTCCAAAGCTCCCTCTGCGTGCAGAAAACCAGGGAGCATACAACTAT